AGAGAATGTCATTCTAAGTGAAGTAAGCCAGAAAAAGAAAAATACCATATGAGATCGCTCATATGTGGAATCTAGAAAACAAAAAACAAAAACAATCAAACAAACAAAAACAAAGCATAAATACAGGACAGAAATAGACTCATGGACAGAGAATACAGACTTGTGTTTACCAGGGGGGCAGAGGGTAGGAAGGGATAGACTGGGATTTCAAAATTGTAGAATAGATAAACAAGATTACACTGTATAGCACAGGGAAATATACACAAAATGTTATGATAAATCACAGAGAAAAAAATGTGACAATGAGTGTGTATATGTCCATGAATGACTGAAAAATTGTGCTGAACACTGGTATTTGACACAACATTGTAAAATGATTATAAATCAATAAAAAAAATGTTAAAAAAAAAAAAGACTTTCAGATGAGCTCCATGGAAAACAGGGAGACAGTGTTTCTGTGTCACCTTAACAGCTGTGTCATATAGAAAGCACAACACGGGGACAGAAAGGACAATAGAGGGTATAAACCTATGCTGAACCTTCATTCATACAGTAAAACCCCCATATAGCTTTCAAAGTGAGGTCTGAAAAATGCTGCTTGTAAAATGTAGCTTTTGCTCTTAGGAAGTGAATTAAACGAGAGCAGGGATGGAGGTAGTAGGATAGGAGCTGATGGACTTACATTTCAGTTCTCATTATTATGAGGTTTTACTCTTTCACTGAGTTAGTCCTTACTACTTGAATTTTGGAGTGGTTCCCAGTAGCTCCTTTATGGTGCCTAGAAAATTGTGGGTTTCCTGGAATGCCTGCTGGTATTTTCACCAACTGAATGAATACTTTTCAAATGTGATGGGTTTTGCTAGTACCTTCGGCTTTGTATCTGAAGGTAGTTAACGTGTTCTCAGCAGCAGCAAGCTCCAGCCCAGGGTGATGGGTGTTGTTTGTTTGTTTTCATTACTTGGCTCTCATGGGCTCTGGTAGACTGCCTGAGTCTAGTTCAGGGCTCCTCCGTCTCTGGGCAAATGGCTTTGTAAACCAAGTAATTGCAATGTAAACTCAGTCTTTCAACAGCACATATAGTTTTTACCAACTTGCTTCTTTTTATTTTGTGAGAAATCACTTATCTTTTAGACTGCATGTGGTAAGTCTCTCTGGCTTATAGCAGACAGGTGAGTGAGCTGCTCAAAGCCAGACGGGGTCAGGAGAGTTCCTTGCAGGTAGCGTGGTTTCATTTATTTATGGCATTTTTGGGTGGTGTCTAGTAACATAGGCCTCTGAATGGCGTAAAGATGATAAAATTTACTCAAAGGATGCATTAGCCATTGTGCAGCTGGTTTTGGGGAAAAGGCATTCTGTGCTCTTTCAAACATGCACAAAAAGGCTGCATAACACAGCTTTTTTCCCCCCTGCAAAACGTTAAATGCTATTAAATAGACTGTTTGAATTAGATTTCACTAAAACATAAGTATTGCACCTAAGAGATAATGGAGTTTCTGGAGAAATATCATTGAAATAAAAAGTACTGGCTCATAAGTTAGCTTCCTCTATTATTATTTGTTAGTATAGCTGAGTATCACAGATTGTGGAGCTGAAAGGATTTCTGATCAAAATATCACATTTTATGTTAGTATTTAAAGAAATTATTCCCAAAGAGTTTGCTTTTCCCAGTGGCACTGAGTAATGTACATGCAGCACCTTGAGACTAACTCAGTAATATTGGCATATACTGCTTTTTTGGTGCCATATATTGTTCTTACAAATACTAATTCATTTAATCCTCATAACTACTTTATAAGGTAGCCACAGAGGAGGTAAGTGACCTATTTAAGATCACATTGCTAATTACATGAGCCAGCTGATTTGAACATAAGCACTCTTGCTCCAGAGTTCTCTGTTAAGCTAGCTGCCTCACCTGACTTTTTTTTTTTTAATTTTCTTTTGCTAACCTTTGTGTTCTTGAATCAGCATGGCAGGCTGCTTTCATGATTTGGTGGAAGGATCTGTAGATACACACACACAAGTGGATTTACCTAGAACATTCCGTCTTGATAGGGAGTCATTTTCTTTCTACGTATAATTTATGATTAGCGAACTTCACTATTTGTGTAGAAAGCATTATTTCTGCAAATAGCTACTAGCTTCTGGTGAGTGGGTTTTTGGCAGTGCATTTGCATTGGTTATTGACTTGAGCTTATTAATTTTATTGCTTCATGAAGCACATTTGTCTAGTAGTTGAAGGACTGTTTCACTGATTAAATCTGAAAGGTGTATAGGAGTATTGAGATTGCGTAAGTGATTTTCCAAAGCTTGAGTGGTTATGACCCTACTAACATCAAACACTGCTCATTTAACCATTTTGTACTGTGTCAAGAATGCTTTTAAAAAAATCAGTAGGCCTTTTCAGCATAGAAGAAAACATCTCATTTTACTGAAAGTACTCTACTATTGTTTGGTTTTGTTTTAGATGAATAATGTGACAACAGACTATTGTATTGACGTCATAAGGAAATTTGAAGTTTCAGAAGAAAATAAGGCAAAAAATGTCCTTGGCATAGAAGGTAAAATAACCAATATTCTTAATTTTTCATTTCTCAATCTGTTTGCAAAATTAAATTCTAGCAAAAATTTTAGGAAAGGAAATCAGGAGATATCCTTGGAATTACAGGTGCTTCAGATAAAACCCACAACACACACATACTTTTCTACAAAACAGATGCCATGATATTGCTGTTTCTCTTACTGTTGCAATGACAGTATGCATTTTCCACTCCAGGCAAGTCAGCTTGATGTCACTGTGTGTGATAGATGACTTTTCTCAGATGGCTAATTTTTTAGAAATAGTCTCATCCTGATAACTTCATGAAGGGAAATTTTGTCCTAAAATAAGTACTCTATGAAACTAGTGACTTCAATGTAAACATACTTATTTAAAAATGTTAGCAAATTAACTTGTTTCACCTAGTTGGTAGTGGTAAAAGATTGTAGGAATCACAAATTCCATTAATACAACTATCTAATTTTATAGTTGAGGAAAGTGAGGCTTAAAGAAATTAATTTTCCCATTGTTACACACGCAGAATCTACCTACTAGAATCTTACATATAAATGATACAGTGTGAGTATAGCTTCTTGTACCTATAAGTTATATGTGTTTAAAATATGTGAGGAAATAAATTGTGGGCTGCTACCCAAGAGTAGAGCAGGTCCCAGGCAGGACTGATAATCTTTTTTTTTAATGGAGATTAATTAATGGGGATTAAACCCAGGACCTTGTGCATGCTAAGCATGTGCTCTACCACTGAGCTATACCCTCCCCGCCAGGACAGATAATCTTAATGAAAGACCCCTGGGACACTCCACTGCCCTGAAGAGCATCCAAAGCCATGGCTTACCTTACCAATTTTGATTTGTTGGCCTCTTGTGTCCCCAAACAGGCTTGTGTGGACAAGAAGGTTTTGATACCATATGTGTACTTCCAGGGATGGAGGCTAATTAAACTGAAGGGAGACGATTTAAAATGTATATAACTAAAAACTATTTTAAAAACCACCAGAGAAGAGAAACTAATTTGGACCTTTCTTTACCAAGAAATGAATCCTTTCCTTGGTAGGGCCTTGACAGATGGAATGAAACATGACTTCTAAGTCGTGGCCATAAAGATGGGCATGAAGACATTCTCCAGCACTTCAGAGGATATTTACAGATAGTTTTACCACCGGATTCTTGAAGACTTGAAATAATTTACCCTAATAATCATTCCACTTAGGTGCTGGTAGGACATTCACGTGTTTATTGGTATATTAATAAATGCCTCTCCTACCCAGGCACTATGATTTTGAAAAACTATAGGAAACCTGATGGAGTTTTCTACAGTTTTTAAGCACTTTTTCACAGTTATCAGATGTGCTAGCAATTGGCAGCATCTTCCCAAACCAATTTCATAGTCAAGGAATTGTACCCTGAATTTAGGCTGTGCCTAACTTCTCAACCATGGCACTGACAATACTATTTTTCAGATCAGCTTAATAACCTATCAAATTGCTGGTGATCATTTAGTATAAATATACGGCTTTAACAGTGCATCAGTCACCCGTCAGGTCACGTGGCATAGTCAAAGCTTGAGTTCAGTAGTATCTGAATAGCTTTGCAGTAAGTCTCCTCCCTCCCCCGTCAGAATTCTTAGAGGGTCTGTTTTTCTGTGGATTGTGTTTAAACTGCTGCTCCCCAAAGTCATATTTTAGTTTTTGACACTGTCTATTTGACCTGAAGCAAATCTCTCATTCATTGCCCACTGTTCCCTGCAAAGTCTATCCTGAAGGTAAATAAGATGATCACTATGGACGTACTTTGGCCTTTTTTGTCCTTGTTAGAGTCAACTGAGTATAGATGCTTTAAAGCTATAGAGCATCACTCGCTCTCTCTCTTCCAAAGGCTTCACGAACTTCATGCGTAGTCCTGCTTGTGACATATTTAACCCATTGCACCTTGAAGTGTACCAGGACATGGATCAGCCCCTTTGCAACTACTACATTGCCTCTTCCCACAACACATACCTGACCGGGGACCAGCTCCTGTCTCAGTCCAAAGTGGACATGTACGCCCGGGTGCTACAAGAGGGCTGTCGCTGTGTGGAAGGTACGTGTCTGAGCCCAAGTGTGTGTTGATGAACGTGTCCTTTAGTCAGTCAGGTCTAGTATAAATAATGGAGACCTAAAAAAATACACTCACACTAATCAGAGCCATTTTTTTTCTCATTGTAAAGTCATTCTTAACTCATAATCCTCTCCACCTCTTCCTTATAGTATAGTCACGAGGGAGAGACTTGTGTGCTAGCAGTCGCGAAGTACACTTTCAGTTGCTGGAAAATTGTGATGAAGATGAAGATTTTCCTAGAAAGATTTTTTAAAAAATTTTGATTAAACAGTGGCAAAAATAGCTCAGGGTAACTATTTGTTTTCAAGATAATTAATGGTCTGTCAATCAGTCAACATTTACCATATTTCTAGGGGCTTCCTGGGGGTGAAGACACAGATGTAAGACACGATTTCTGTCTTCAGGACCTCAGGGTATAATAGAAGGAGTGAACATTCAAAACAGTAGTGCAGTGAGAGAACTCACCAGGTGAATGGTGTCTGTGGTAGAGAAGTGCTGTGGAGAGTAAGACGTGAGGCAAAACGCAATGAGAAATCAGGAAGGCTGGGGAGGCGGACGTGGGTTGGTGATAAAGGGTTTTGAGTTCTGTGGTGAGGAATTTCAGTTTGAGCTTTTGGTAACAAGGGTCTAGTGAATTGTTGTAATACCTATAGTGAAATGGCCAGACTTGCAATTTAGAAAGATTGCTTGGGCAGCAGCGTAGGAGGGTAATTTAAAAAACATTTATGTATGTATGTTTTGGAGGGGGCCGATTAGAGCAAGGAGCATGCTGGGAAGGCTGTTGAGATGACTCAAAGGAGGGACTATAAGAGCTTGGACTAAGTGAGAAAGAAATGATGATACGGGTACTGACGAAGTGAGCTTAACAGGACCTGGTGAGAGCAGTAAGGGATGTAAGGCATGAGGGGAAGGACTGAATGAATGGCGGTGCCCCCACATTCATGAGGAACTGAGTGGACGAGCATTAACCAGTTCAGTTTTCCACCAGCTGAGTTTATATAGTGACTTCGTAACATGTACGTGGACATTTGTATCAGTCAGTGGGATAACAATGTCTGAACTCAACAGAAGGAGCCAAGCAGGATAAAGCTTTCACAGTTCTGAGTTTCGTAGGCGGTAGTGTACAAGATCACTTAGAGAGATCTTCGTGTATAAGCGTACAGGAAAGTGTGCAGAGTCACTTAGGGGACTGGAAAAGGGAACAAGGCCTGAGGACTTAAGCCATCCAATATTTAGAAGTAGAAAGCACAAGGGGACTGATGGAGACAACTAACACACAGCAGGCACTTGGACTTAAGGGATGAAATAGTCAAAGAATGTCCCATGCACAGAAAAATAAAGATTAAGTATCCAGTCTGGTTGCATTTGACAGCTGGAGGGTTCCAAGTGTCCTTTGCTCTATAGTTTTAGTGGGTGATGGTCGGTTAGCTGATCTGCTCTGGATTAGTTACTTGGCATTTTTCTGCATGAGAAGACTTGAGGATACGGGGTTGGGAAAGTTTTGGGACTTGGAAGAGGAGGAAATGAAGATACAGGTTTGTTTTTAGATGGGATAGAGGACAGGAGATTTTGGAAGTGTTCTTGCCTGAAAGCATCTCCTTCCTCAGGATGGTAGAAGAGAGCACTGTCCACTAAGTGTAGAGTGGGCGGAGGCTGGCTGGGGCTTAAGATCAGCAAACAGTAGGAAAGAAGTTGACAAGATAAATTGGGGAAGGCCTCGCTAATTTCAAAAGCAGCCTTTAACAAAACAGTCTGTTCATTATCCAAAATTGGCATGTTTAGGCTTCTCCCACCCCATTCTCAATAGATTAGGTATAAGGGCAATGAAGACAGATGATAGGATTGATCCAAACCTTTGAATTTCTAGGTCATGTGAAATATCTTCAAACTGCTTGTGAGAGCTCTTTTAAGTAATTAACAGTAGGTGTATGAACTAGGAAAGGAAATGAAGGAGCCACAGAATGAGGTTAAGAGACTAGAAGACAAAACAAAACAACAAAACACCCCCCAGAACTATGGAGAATGTTGTCAACACATATACAAAACACAAGAACAGAGAACTATTAACACAAGGTGGGATTCTGGTTGTAGTAGCAGGTGATGACTATATCCAGAGTGCGTCATGGGTGAGTGTGGTTAGAGCGAAGCAAGGAGTTGTTGGCTTTGAGGACTGGAAGCTAAGAGATTGGGTGGATTGGCCCCATGGACTTTTAACTCAAAGGATGCTGATGTGAGGGTAAAAGTTAAAAATTAAAAGATTAAAAGTAGGCTATTAAAAACTGTAAACCAGATATTTAAGTACAAAAAGAATGTTATAGAAAAGGCACCCGGACGATGCCAGAAAGGTAGAGATGGATAAAGGGAGGTTTAAAAGTGGGGGGCTTTGTTTATGAATGTAGAACCATTGTTTGAAAGTAGCAGTAAAGACCGCCTCGTTCTGTGATGTCTACAAAAAAAGCGTCTGTGGAGACAGGAGGCAGTGTCCTCCACGTAAACTGGGTGTGAACCACAATAAGGAGGATGAGGAGGAATTCCAAAGAGTCTGATGATGAAGGGGAGTTTGTTTATGATGGAATGGAGATTCCATGGAGCAAAGGGGAATTGCTTTTTGGTGGGAGCATACTAGGAGCCAGCACTAGGTAACACTTTGTTCTTGGGAAATTATTCAAATAAAGCAGGAGGGCAGTGGTAAGTGGAATAATAATACTGGTAAGTGGAGGAGCCTTTCTTTGTCAAATAATTTCTGACATGAAGAATTTTCCGCTACAAAAGTAAAAGATGTAATGTTGTAGTAATAGTAGCAATAATGTTATTAAGGTAAATTAGCATTTTTAAAAATGGACAGGTATTGAAAACTATCTACATTGCAGAGTCATTAGGACCACTACATGTTTAGCACTCTGGGTATGTCTGGTTTAAGACATGGCATTTTTGCAGTAGGTGCAAAGAACACCTACTGACAATAGTGACTGATAATTGAGTAGCTTAAGCAACTGAATAATGAAGATGCTTATAAAATATTCACATAGAGAAAAACCTTTCAAGCAACAAAAGGTCTTGAGGTGACATTCTGTTCTCAGCCATTATTCAACCCTTTGTTCACGCAGCACTCAACAAGTTTTATAAGTCTGACATGCAGAGAGATGCCTGGGGCACACACCCACCCTGGATTCGGAGTGGTGGTTGTCTGCCACTTTAAATGGTGACATTTTCTTGGAGGCCAAGTATGGAAAATGGCTTCTAGTGACGCCATGAAGTGATAGTCAACTCCGACAGCTTTGCAGTTTTGTTATTTGTGTCCAATATTCTATTTCTTTTGCTTTTTAGGTCTTTCAGGTACCTAGTCTTCTCTTTTTTGCTCTCACTGTCCAAAATCAGTGTCTACCCAAGCTTAACCATGTTCCTGTGATCAGCTCCTTACTGAATCAGATTTTCTAGTTCTCCAGCTTTGTCTGGAATATTTAGCAGGAAAGTTACCTGATTAAGACAATTGATTGTAAGGCACAAATAATTTTTAGTTTCAGCTTTTTGAGGGATCTTTTAATTTTAAATTCCACTTTTAGAAATTGTGTGCAGTAGGTGATATTGAACATGGGCCTTCTTTTGTACCTTCTCAATAGAACCTCCTTGTCTAAAAGGCATTGTTTGCTCCAGACATTCCCACAAACTCAGAATATGCACAGCTACGGTATAATTTTAAAAATTGTGCAATCTCTCAAATATCTCCCTCGCCAAGCTTGCATCAGCAAATGCCTCCTCTGTTATTTGGCTTGAAATTCTTACTATTGGAACAATCTCTGACTGGACAGTGAAAGTCAAGCTGCTGTTTCTGGAAGGTTTTGTTGAGAAGAATTATGTTTCTCCGGGAGACTTGGTCAGCTTTGTGCTAGCTCCATTTCTGTTTGGAACCATGGTTGTCAGCTTGGCTTTGAATGTACTGTAGGAAGGAACAAGGAAACCACTATGATTTCATCCCCGTTTGTGGGCTAGATTCTGGCTATGTCTGTGCATTCTCATCCATTTAATTTTTATAACATTAAGGAAGGTAGAGCAATCTTCTGAAGAAGGCACCCTAACTTGGGGTAGGGTTGGTGGCTCAAGGCCCTGTCACCAGGAAGCTTGGAAGCTGGGACTTAAACCCAAGTTGTCTGACTCCCCCACTCTTTCAGGAAGCCTGTGTGGTTATTGGAGGAACAAGCATTGAATGACATGACCAGCCCAAGGGAAGATCAAATGGGGGTCCTCAGGTCACATAAGGAAGGTTAGAAAGCACGACACACAGCACAGAGGGGAGATGGGCTTTAGAAGGAGGCATTTGCTTGGCTCAGCATTAGGTCTGGCATCTGAATATCTAGGTGTTCCTGAAGACTTTAGAACCTGATGGCACGATCTTCCGTGCTCTCCTGATGGTTTCTTTCAGTCCCATAATTTGAAGATCTTAGCTTTCATTTCAAGCTTGAGCTTGGAGGGGCCGATGTGTGTACACCCAGTGATACTTTATCTACCTTGCGTCTGGATGAAGTTGTTTTTATTCTTACACAGCTGCAGCTAGGATTTGAGGAGCTTGATTAATGGAACATAGCAGGTCATGGATTGAAAATTTCAGGTCCCACAAATAATCTTCTGAAGTAGCTTTTGCCAAGTATCGTGCTTAGCAATGGAGAGTAATGATTCTGGACAGGTTCTGTATGGTATTGTGACCTGAAGAATCTCTTTACTTTGAAGCTTCTGTTTTAATAATATCACATTTTCCACCTCCATTAGTTCAGCTGCAGCAATGTCCCCGGTCAGGATATACACGATGTCTTAGGGAAGACTAAGAAGTCTTTTTTTGGCAAAGTGGGTTTGTCAGCAAATCAAATTGACTTTTTTTTTTTAATGTGGCCTTCCATTCCCCTGAGTTTCAGCCCTGTTTGCTTAATAAATATGAGTGTTCTGTCCAGGGGATTTTCACTCTCATTATGGAACTGATGTTGCATTGCTGGTATAATCGGTTTACAACTTTTCCTGTGAGCTCTGGGAGCGCCATCAGGGTGGAACATTTTTAAGTTCCATTATGAAAAGCTGTCATGGTGGCGGTGCAGCTGGCCTTCAGAACTGACCACCTGTTTGTGAGGGTGCTTCCGGGGGCCTCGAGTGTGTGGTCTGATTGAAAAATAGCCCTGACTGTTTTGTGGCTAGGAAATTGGTTAGAGGATTTCTGCGTTGCCAACATTCCCGTTGTAGCACTAGGTCTCTCAGGAGCTCTTCATGGCCGTTTGGACTCGGCTATGGATGCCACGCGTTCGGACCATTTGAGAGTGTTGTTATCCTCATTTAACAGACAAGTGATAAAATAGACCTAAAAAGTGAACTTTGGGAGGAGCATCCTCAACCGTGGATATTCTGCCTGTGTTGTAAGTATAAGAGAGCACCTTCTTTCATGACCAATGTAGTTTCTTTTTTTTTTTAAACATAGTCAATTATAAAAGTTAGTATTAATGTGACAATAATTTGTAACTCCACTTTTTGTTCTCTATATGATTTAAGAGACTAACACATTTATTTTTATTTATCATTTTTCAGTTTTATTAGGTACAATTTGACTGCACAGACATAATATATTGCATGTACATACATATGTACAATATACTGGATTGCTTCTAAGAACATTTTAAAGCTTTAGCTTTTTAAAGTTACATAGTTGTCAAAGGAATAAAGCCAACCACAAAATAAGAATCAGCAGAATGCAGTAATCCAGTCATAAAGAACAGTCAAATGTACTTACACATATTCAAGAAATCAATCATCTAAGTTATAAATAATAAGTAGTTCATTTGTGTCCTTTTTTTTTTTTAGATTCCACATGTAAGTGATATTGTATGGCATTTTTCTTTCTCTTTCTCACTTACTTCACTTAGAATGACGATCTCCAGGTCCAACCATGTTGCTGCAAATAGCGTTATTTCTTATTAAGAGATATTTTTATGTGTGTATGATAATCAAGTCAGTGTGGCATTGCCCTTTCTACTTTGCCTTCTTTTTGAAAAGAAATTAGCTCATTTATAAGGAACATGTTATGCCCTTTTTCTCCCCAGGGTATAAATTGGAGCATATTGTTTAAGTTACGTACTTTTGAAACATCTGTTTGTTCTTTCCACGCCTGTATCTAAAGACAAATTAAAGAATGTCAAGTACATGTCAAAAGACAGATGGAGTTTCTCTTCTGAGAAGATATCTTTATATATTTGACCCATTTATAGGCCCAAAGGAACAGTGTAACACCATATGATAGCACTCCAAAATACTTGTTCTTAAACTTTGTTTCCAGTATCTCTATGGTATTAACCTTGAAAGTTCTTTCTCCTTTTCCATTTTCCCCCTTAAGGATGTTTTAATAGGCCATGTTTAATTGAAATATGTAACTGTATTAGTAAGAGAACAGAACTAACTTTTTTCTTTTCCCCTTCCCTTCCCTTCCCTCTTTCTTTTTCTTTCTTTCTTTCTTCTTTTCTTTCTTTCTTCTTTTCTTTCTTTCTTCTTTTCTTTCTTTCTTTCTTTCTTTCTTTCTTTCTTTCTTTCTTTCTTTCTTTCTTTCTTTCTTTCTTTCTTTCTTCCTTCCTTCCTTCCTTCCTTCCTTCCTTCCTTCCTTCCTTCCTTCCTCCCTCCCTCCCTTCCTTCCTCCTTCCTTCCTCTCCCCCCCCCCACAAGACAGACAGAGACAGGGAAGAAAGAAGAAAGGAAAGAGACTTTTGACTTTTCTCGGGTCTGACAACCCATGTCCTTATTCCTACTTGGCAGTGGTTGATTGGCAGTGGGAAGTAGTTACCTCACTTGGACACACATTTCCTGTTGGACTGCTGTGCTTATCGTTGTAACCGGCTAGGTTCTTGTTGGTATTTGGATTTGTGACCCCCTCTCATAAGGAAGGGCAGAGTCATGGGAACTGGCAGGGTTCTATGGGGGATCCTCGTTTAGGATCTAAATCCTTGAGCAAGGATTTGATTCCTGATTGGGATTTAGATGAGCAAAGTGAAAGAGGGCATCTCAGTTGACCTTAAATGAAAGAAGCAAAGGCACAGGAGTAGGATTGTAGGTGAGAAAGTGGGACTAACTGGAAGAACAAGTCTGAGTTCGGGTGTAGGAGAAAGTAAGTTGGACGTGTCAAACAGGAGCTAGGATATTAATTATCTGGTTTCTTTAACAGTTAACCCTAAAATCTCTGTGCCTTAAAACAACTGAAGTTGATTTCTTATGTGAAACCCAAAATAGCTGTTCCTAATGGGCGAATCTTTCCAGTAGTGATTTCGGAATGCAGGCTCTTCCCCTCTGTATCCATGCCGTCTTCGGCACCTGACTTCTGGAGTCAGGGCAGAAGAGAAGAGGGCACGGATGACTGTGTAGGGCAGGCTTTCCTAGACCGGACCTGGAAGTGATGCACATCATTTCTGCTCATATTTCAGGGGTCATGTCCTGCTACAAGCGAAGGCTGGGAAATACAGCCCAGCTGTGAGCCAGGGCGAGACAGAAAACAGGCTTAGCTGAATGGCTAGCCAGTCTCTAACACCGGAGATAGGGACCTTGGGGTTAAGCAGGCAGGAGCTGCCATAGGATGTTTATTAATAATCTGCTGAGTACATGCTATGTGTTGGATGCTATGTTATGCACTGCGTAGGCTTTTGAGCAAAGTCGTCACGTGGAGAAAGCAGTGTTTTGAGAAATTAGTCTGATGGCAGACTTTAAAACAGGAGAAGGCAAACTCAAAGTCAGGGAGGATGCTGGGGAGGCTGTTGGGCCAGTGGGGGTGTCCATAGATGTAACAATGTCAATATTATCAATAATAGTAATCGTTTCTGTGTGCCACGCAGGACTGTAATCAACTTCACATGTGCTTATACATCACTCAAACTTATGATTCAAGTCTTGTTATCAGTTTTCTTTTATGGATGGGGAAGCAGTACCTTAAATTATTAAATCATTTGCCCATATTCACATAAATCTTAGCAGGGCCTGAGGATTTGAACTTAGGAAGTCAATGCTATTTTAAAAGTACTGTAGAATTAATAAAATGGAAATAAACCTAATGGAAACACACTGAGTTTAAGTGAACAATGATGAAAAACCTTGTTACTGACTTGAGAGGGTGATTGTGACTTTTTAAAAGACTTTATAATAAACTGAAGAAGTAAAATTAGAGAAACAAACTGTTGAGCAATATCACTGTCCTTGGTCACACTTGGCTGGATTTAGCTGAGTTTCTAATGAGAGTTCTTGGTAAATGCTAAACTGCTTGTGAATATGACATCTTTGTTAACTATAAGCACTCACAAGAAATCATTTATAATCTTTAAGTCTTATTTTTTCAGTATTATTGACCAAAGTCTATTTTTCATTCAGGTTTCTTTTGTTTTTTTTTTCCCTAATGTCCTCTTTCTATACCAGGATCCCACCCAGGAGGCCACATTCTGTTTAGTCATCACTTCTTAGGCTCCTCTTGGCTGCGACAATTATTCTTATTCTTTTTTAAATTGAGACGTAGTTGACTAACAATGTTGTGTTAGTTTCTGGTGCACAGCATAGTGATCCAGCTATATACACATATATATGTTCTTTTTCATTATAGGTTATTACAAGCTGTTGAATATAGTTCCCTGTACTATACAGTAGGACCTGGTTGTTTATTCTGTACATAGTAGTTTGTATCTGCTAATCTCATACTCTGAATTTATTCCTGGCCCCTCTTCCCCTTTGGTAACTGTAAGTTCATTTTCTGTGTCTGCAAGTCTCTTTCTGTTTTATAAGTAAGTTCGTTTGTGTCATTTTTTAAGATTCCACATATAAGTGATGTCGTATAGTATTTGTCTTTCTCTGTCTGACTGACTTAGTATGATGGCCTCTGGGTCCATTAATTCCTTATTCTGATAAATATGCCGAAACACTCATTCCTGTCTGACAATCTTTGTCATGATCAGAATACATACAATCTCAAATAATAAACTTAAAATAATGCTTGTCTGATATTTCCAGAAATATCAGGAAACACCAGAAACTTTGGGTTGTTGATGTGACGTTCTGTTTTGGCAGTTGACTGTTGGGATGGCCCCGACGGGGAGCCTGTAGTGCACCATGGTTATACTCTGACTTCAAAAATCCTCTTCAGGGACGTGGTGGAGACCATCAACAAGCATGCCTTTGTGAAGAACGAGTAAGTAGAGCACCATGAGGGAGCCGAGCCCTGCCTGGCGTGCCACGGCTACCAAACCACACACTCCTCGGAGTCTTCATCTCCCTTTCTCCTGCCCCGGTTCTCTCCTTCCTTCCAAAGAAACACTGTGAACAAAGAATATGGGCCCCATGTGTACACTTTCTTGTGCTCCCTTTTTTCCTGACTCCATTTTCACTCAAAATGTTGCCTCCTCGAAGCATGTTCTGATGAAGAGTGACCTCAAAATTTCTAAACCCAGGACATACAGAGCATCTGTAAAGTTTAGAAACACAAGTTACTAAATAGCTTATTGGTTTCATATTACAATACCATAAAATAACAATATCTTGGTTTCCTGGCATGCTGGATGTTCTACATATATTAAGGATCTGGAGTTTTTATTTGATCCCAGTTACTTGACCCCTCCTTGGCATTGGGTAATGGTGATTATTTTCTCCTCAATACTTGCTTTTTTTGGCTTCTTTTATGACATTCTCTTCTCTGCTGCTGCCATGGCTTCTCACTCTTTTTCTTTGGTTTATGGTCTTTTATTCCATTTCCTCATTCCTTTAATAGTCACTATTTTGTAAGTTGCCCTTGGTTTACTTTTTGGTTATTTGTCAATTATGTATCCAGAATGTTTTCCCTAAGTTTCAGAGATATATAGAGAAATTCTTAGTCAAAATTTATGAATATCCCGTAGGTACCTCAAAATCCACAAATTTCATTATTTATTCAGACATTTATTCCAATATTGAATGGTGCCCACTCTAGGCCGGGCGTGCTGTGATAGGAGCAGGGAGCTGTGACACTGAACAAAGATAAGACTCCTACCGTCATGGGGCGTCCATCCCAAATTGCACTCAGCACCCCATTCTGCCAAACTTCCTCTTGTGCCATTTCCTTCTGGGTAGGCAGGAAGCACTGTTTACCAGTGGCTTTAGCCAGAAATTGGGAGTCATTCCAGATTGAGCTAGTCTAATCTTGTCCATTCTACTTCCTAAATTATCTTTTGACTCCATTGCCTTCTCTTCATTTTCATTGCCTTTGGCTCATCCTCCACACTGGTGCAGTAGTTTCCTTTCTGAAAATATAAGCAGATGTTTTAATTCTTAAAGTCCTTTGAAAGCTCCTTGTTGTACACAGTCATGCTTCCCATGCCCCCTCACCTCTTCCTGCTCCTGCTCTTCCAGAATTTTCTGCTACCATCAGTCCGCAGAGATTTCAGTGTCTGCCTTCATTGACTGTCTTTTGGAGTCTCTGGGGCTCACAGTGCTTTCACAACTCCCCGCCCTCACCTATGACGTTCTCTCTGGCTGAACACTCGTCCCCATCATTCCACCTGCCAAATTCTTGCTCATCGTGGGGACTGCATAGGTGTTGTCCCTCTGGCAAACTCAGTGATATCACCACTGATTTGAAGCTCCCTTTCTCTGTCCTTAGCACCCTGAGCATAGTTCTACAGCATAGTTCTATCATATCATACAGCGCCCTCTAACCATCGTTGGTTACTTGCCTTCTTTTACGTCTTGAGGACCATGAACTCATTGATATGGAGCTATGTCTTATTCATTCTTTACTGCCCAGCCAGTGCCTGCAATATGCTAGACATTCAAGAAATGATTCTTGAAATTAAAAGAGGCAAATTAAAACCACAATTGCATAAAATTAATTTTATAGACATTAATAGCCTTTAAAATTTTAAATAATTTGGTCTTCTCATTAATTAAATATGAGCTTAAAATATGAGCTGTTCCAATAAGAGAGACTTGCTGCATAGCATGTTTGGTTTCTGGCATTTTCTACATATAAGAATACTGAATTCTGATGGCTCTTTCCTACCTTGATGGCTACTAATCAGCCAAGTTGATGAAGTGATTTGCCTTTATTTCCCAATATGTGAAGTAACGCGTTGAGAAGACCTGCTATCTGTATACCTTGGAGGATCCTCTGGGGACTTGACAGTGCTAACTTCAAATCCGGGAATCCCTAGGAGAAAGGCACTTCAAATTAAAGCAGTTAAAAGGCTTGTTTAGCAAATTTTAAAAGTTCAGTGTTTTTCTTAAATTTTAGTTGCATCTTTACACCAAATTTTCTCAGCCTTGGAACCACTGACTTTTGGGGCCAGATAATTCTTTGTTGTGGGGAACTGTCTTGTGCATTGCAGGATGGTGGGCCATGTTCTTGACTTCTACTCACTAAATACCAGGAGCAACCCCCGCCTCCCCACCTGCCCTGGTGTGATCACCAAAAATGTCTTCAGACACTGACATATGTCTCTGTGGGAGAGGTGCTGCAGCCACGCCCCTCCCCTGTTGAGAGGCACAGCTTTACACTAAGCACCATTAGATGCTAATAGGCTTTTTATAAACACATTGATAATTTTAAAATTCATTGCTACAACTCCCTGATGTGATTGCATAGACAACTCAGGGTTGTTAGTTTGTTGTTTTTCTCTTCCCAATGCTCTGGGGTAAAACCCATGTGAGGACAGAACAGCAAACAGATTAGAGTCCAGTAACCAGACCAACCTCAATCACAACGTTTTATCTCTTACATTACCCCCGGCGTCAGGTTTACTAATGAGGATAAAATGTAATTTCAAGAGGTCACAGCCCGTATTGTGGAGCTCGTGCCTGTCATACAAGCCCAGAAACAAAGTTTTTTCTCTACACAGCTGTATTAGGCAATTTAAATACTGGTTTGTGTATTCTGGAAAAAATATATTTCCTATGACTTTGGAAGATTTGTGATAGAAAGCCAGAAAAAAAGGAAATAAGCCTGAATTTGGAATAATTTCTTATTCTGAGGAAAAAACAAAATCAGAAGAGGAGTAGGTAAGGTCATGTAAGCACTCCTGGTCCCTCAGGCTGTGTGCGGTACTCACCGCACTGGGGTCTCGCATTCTCTGCACAGAAGCCTGAGTGCTGGCGGAGAGTGAATGCTTGACTTGTCCTTTCTGAAAATAAAGACTGTTACATAATTCTATCCAAATGGTTTTGAAGTGCCTGACATAGGACGCTATGAAACACAAAATTCCATGATGTTATTTTATCCTCGATAGTAATTTACAAGCTTGTTACGTATTTTTAGAGTAAATATCTGCATTTAATAATAGTTAGTAGTCTCTTTGATGTTTCTAGACTTCTGAATAAATGAGACAAAATCACAAGTTTTCTTTGGTTCTTATCTCTTAAACTTCTATCTTTTTCTTGTAAAACAGGCATAATATATATAATGTGGGGGATATGTGTATGAGAGAGAGATGCAGAAATTAGACCAAGTCATCCCACATGGATTGGTATTTTGTTCAGCCATTTTGCCTGATAAAATATATTTGGTCAGGGGAGTTTTTTTTTTTTTAATGCATCTCTTATCTTTGTCATTTAAGAAGCATTTTTAATGGCTGCATACTGATCAAATGATAAAATGTTTCATGTATTTATTCATTCAGCCAATAAATAGTCAGAATCTAAAAAAAAAAAAAGGATAATTTAATTACCACCC